CCGGAGACGGCTTTCTGGGATATCCAGCCAATCCAGCCGGATGGGTCCCGCAGCATTATTCGGAACAGACAGAACAAGACGTGTCTCGAGGCGCCACATCTCCTGGTGCAGAATGAGGCTGCTTTTAACCAGAGCCAGAACGGCCAGGGCGGCTCCTGTGGACCCGCCGGCCTCTTGACGGCATTTCAGAGTTATGGAAGTGATACAACAGGTGGTGACCGGTACCGTTGCTTCGTTTACAACAACTGGAAGGATTGGACAATGAAGGGTGACAGTTGTAAGCCGCCTATGCAGGGCCACACCGATCAGGACGACGGCTTCTTCGTCGAATGCCCAAAGCAAACGATCATGCAGAGCACCACCGCCATTTTCCCAAGTCACCATCACCAAGCAATAAAGCAACGGTACAACTATACGTGCTGCACGCCCAAGATGCCGCCGTACGTCAAGTACCTTGAGACGACATACAAAGGGAAGGTATCGTGGGAGCACGGCAACTACACTTATTCTTGTGGTGATTATGGTTTCCATTTCGGCTTCTTGAGAGGAGTTCACTGGTATTATGAGACAGCTGATGCACACGCCTCCTGTGCTGGAGAGATGCATTCCCTCGACGAACGCCGCACGCCTTTGGAGACCGCGACATGCAATGATTCTGACGTGTTTCAGCAATGGGAGTTCTTGAGAAAGCAGCCAGAGGACAAGCTGGAGGTCGCCGGAACAGACTTCATTACCCTCAGCAGCTGCGAGGCGTCCTTGGCCATCAACCAAAGCCTGAACACGTCTGAAGCTGTTGAACTCTTGCTCGAGATTAATGGGTCTCAGTTCCTCAATGCTCAGCAGAAACAGGCTTACCAGTACGTGGACAACTATGAGGTGGTGATCCCGCAGGTCCGTGGAACTACAGTCTTGTTTGCCTGCCAGGCGGCGCAGTCCGGCGGTGGCAAGCTGTGCGCCTCCCGAGCATCCGTCAGCCCCAATGATTTGGCAACAGCGTACGTCAGCCATGCGACTTTGACGATACAGAAGGTGTGCCCTGTCCTCCTGAACAGCTCTGTCATGAACTCATCCATTGGCAGGCCCTTGGAACCAAACGGGATGACTGTGAAAGCTTTCTCGGATGCAATGCTCAACGTCCCCTACAAGACCGTTCCGTTTGACACTGCCACAGGGTGGCCCTTCTTCTACAACGGCTCCGAAGCACAGAGGGCCCAATCAGTCGGCTTCCTCAGCATTCCAGCCAATGGAGACTCCTTTTGGGGAGTGACCTGTCCGGCCGGTGTGCTTCGGTCTCCCAGGAGGTCTTCACATCCTACTCAGGATCAGCAACTTGTCCTCCGGGAACAGCCCTCAGCGGATGGTACAACCTGCCTGGCATCCCGGTGAGGGGCAACACTTCTGCGGGAGGTCCGAAAAACTGGACTGGGCTCCAAATCATGTGCCGGAGGACAGCCCTCATAGGCTTTTGCGAGCAGCCGGCAAAGCCACATTGCACTGTGGGTCACGTGGTGAATGCAATCAGCTACAGTCAGAATCAGCTCAAACTGGGCTGCTGTCGCTTTCTTCGGCCCATGGGTGCATCACTGACGGGTTTTGGGCGAGCTCAGAATCCGTATTTAGGCTTTGAGGGCTACTACTGCCCCACGGCGATGGGTTCCACGGGAGCGGCTCTCTACGCGAAGACGGCCATCCGAGCGCTTGGAGAGCCGGGCACTTCTTCTGACCTCAACTACACGCTTGTGTGGGATAAGTTCAAGGGTGATTGGTGCCTCCGGAACGGGAACGAGCTGCGCTATGCCATCCACAGCAGTGCACTCTCGCCTGTGGAGATTGCCGGCGGTCCTATCTCTGCAACGCCTATCAAGCCGCTGGTTTCTGAGAGCCAGCCCAAGGTGCAGAGTCCGTTCCCCGCCAAGAAGCCCACATACCCAAAGCTGCTGCAGTTCCATCCCGTGCAACCCAACTATGCAGCTTACTGCAACCCAGAGTTCCTCGAGAGCCCGGCCAGCTTCAGGGGCCAAGTCGCCGAAACGAACCCGTGCTACCACACCTTCAATGCTGACATGGTGCAGGGCTTCTCCGAGACAAAGGGCATCAGTGAGAGTGCTTTTTGGGCCTGTAGCCAGCGGTCGAAGGCACGGGACTACCTGAAGGGCATGGTCCAATACTCACAGAACAAGGCAGCTTCCGCCCTGCAGGCGGAAAAGGCCAAATTGGCGAAGATCCAGCTGTGGTTGGAGTTGGCCGCCGCCGTCGCGGGCGCCGTGCCTCTTGGAAGTTGGGGGCTGGCGGGTTCCAAGGGCTCAGATAAGGCTGAGTACATGGGAGAGGAGACGGCGGAGAAGCAGATTCAAGAGAAGGCAGAGGAGGAGGCAAAGAAGGCGATCCTGGCCAAGCTTGACAAAATCAAGGAAGGCCTTGGTGTCATCAGCACCTCCCTGGGGCTCTCGGACAAAGTAGTTCAAATCATTTCAGCTTACAAGACAGGGCATGTGAGCTGGTCCCGGAATCTGCGCAAGCAGCATGTGCAGGAGGGCGCGATTACAAATAAAACCGTGCCCAAGTTCGAAGGTGGAGTCGCGTGGACCAAGGAGATGGCTGAAGCGGCCTGGACCGACTGCTTGCCTTTGCAATACGGACTGTCGAAAGTGATGTGTGATTTGTTCTGTGTGCAGAACTCGGTCCGCTCCGGTACGTCTGCTGTCCTGGAGAGCCTGCAGAACTCGCAAGCGGTCTTGATGAAGAACCTGCAGGCACTGCTCAACTACCAGACGCTGTACATCCTTTGGGCTCTCGGCACTGTGCTCACTCCTTCTCCAACGACTGCGGAGGATGCAACAGTTCCAGAGGAGGTGCCGGAGGCCAGCACCTTGCTGTCCGAGCTGCAGCAGATCGACTTCGAACACATGAAGGCAACGGTTCCCAGGCTCTCCCGGGACATCCTCCACTGGCATCAAGCTACGGGACAGCAGTTGTATGGCCGCCTAGCATCGTTGACCGTGAACGCCTCCAGACAAAGCTGGCCTTTGCGCGTGAAGGCGGCACGCGGTATGCTGCATCACTTTCAGGCACACTTCCAACGGCAGCTCCACAAGCGAGTGCAGGAGCCTCCAATGGCAGATAAGGTGCGGAAGTTGCGCGAGGACACATCGGAGCAGCACCAGCTGGGCAACAAGGCTCGGGATTTGAAGTTCGATCTCGGCTCCAAAGCTTTGACAGCGCCGCTGGTCGAAGCATTTCTCCGCTGCCACGAGAAGCACAGCACCTACGTCATGTTGCATTCCAAAGCCTTGCATCAAATGGACGCAGCTCTGGGTGCTGCACGGAACTTCACGAAGTGCGATGCTGACACCAAGGACTTGCACCAGGCATGGCAACTTGCCATCCGAGCTGACGAGCGCAGCCAGGAGGTCTTGCTTGAGGCCTGGGCAGCCACCGTTGCTGGGGCCGAGCGGATCGAGATTGCCATGAAGGATGAGCAGCTGCTGTCACTCCTGGGAGACTGGACCAAGGACGTGGAGGTAGAGGTCACATGTCAGAACTCGACGGCATTGGTCTTGCAGAGTCACGCCCTTGCAATCGGTGCTCTGGACCGCGCAGTGTGGGCATTGACGCAGGAGGTGATCACTTTCCAGGCTTTGGCAGTGTACCAAGAGCATCAGCTGAATCAGAAGCGCTTGGAGCACACGGCTCTTCCGGATGTTTGGAAGATGCTGAAGATCCAGCTGGCCGCTGCCGCCGACCCTGGCCAGCGCTTAGGCCAGCGGCTTGCCGCGGCAGCGCTGCAATCCCTGGGCTTGGAGTTCTGCCCGGCTCCCCCTGGCTGTGCTCGTGGGATCCTGGTGGGAGCGGATGGCGCGGATGGTGCGGTGCCCTGCGAGCATGGGCAGGGCGCTACCAGTAGTGTGCTCCCCAAGCGCTTGGCCTCTCAGCTCATCGAGAAGATGCCACTCCGCCCGCAGCCGCTGCGGAGCCTATCGTTGGTGCAGCTGGTAGAGGTGGCTGGTGAAGAAGCCCGGCACACTGGTGAAGATGTGTAGCAGAACCCTGCTTGAACTCGAATTCGGAATGGGGGAAGCTGAGCCTGAAGAAGCTCGAAACCAGCATGCATCGTGGTCTCGTCATTTCAAGAAACCTAGGAGCCGCACCAACAAATCTGTCCATGCAGTCTTTTGTTGGCAAAGACCCCCCCAAGCACGCAGTTCCGACTAGCTAAGTACATCGTATTTGTCATCGGCGTGCAGCGCTTTTTTGTCCGCAACCCATCGGCACACCGGCGCCGGTGCACTTTGGGCCGGGTTTGCCATGCCTGGTGGTGTAGCGGGGTGACTTTCAGGCAAAGCTCCTGGACCAAGAGTCCTTGACTCTGTCGCCAAATGCTGCAGAAAACTTCTTCAAAGCCGGGATGGTTGGGGGGGCGTAGTCTAAGCTTTGCCCAAGCTTTGCCCGTGTGACCTATCGGGGCATTCGCCGATCGCCGTGTCTCGGCTCTGGCTCGGAGATCGTCGCAGAGGGCTGCCTTAAGCCGGACCACCGCGGGCGAAGTTAGCCCAGACAATGCCCGGTCAGACCACCTTTTCGTTTGGCCCATGTTCCTCCGTTGTGCGGTCCCGGTTGAACTTCATTGAGGCTTGAAGCTGCCAAAAAGAGGCCCGCCCGTTTTGACATGTTAAACCGCCTTGCAGGCGAGGCTTGAGAGTGCGCAGCCATCCCCGCAGCCCCGTCGCCGTGCAGGACGCACCCAAACAGAAACATGGTCAGTGACAAGAAAAGCACCAGTTTGGCACGGACGTACTGGGATTCTACAGCATTGAGCTGACATGTCTTTCCGAGCATGGGGTGACTTCTGAAATGGCAAAGGCTTAGGCCCATGCATCGCCATGCAATGCGACGGCCCCTTGTGCCATAACTAGCAGCTGGCAACGGGCATGCGCCTGAGGTACGGATGACACCCACTTATGAATCGCACAAATTTTCCTGATGTCTGCAGCATCTAGGCCATGCTGCAGCCCTCGTTGCCAAAGATGCTTCGAGGCATCCGGTTTGATCATGGCTTCTTGGTGCGACATGTCGCTGGCAAGAGAGGGTCTGGATCAGGAGTTGCCAGGGGCTGCATCAACATTCGCCGTTTTGCGGAGGATCTGTGCCCAAGTTCTGGGCATGTGGACATTTGCAGCTGCTGCATATATATATATATATAATGTATATATGGCTCATGTCGTATTTTCCATGTTCCTTCCAGCGTGATTTCGACAGTGAGGGCAGTTCGGCCACGAAATGTGAATCCTTTGCTCGTCGTACATGTCAATCAGACAGACTGTGCAGAATCTTTCCATGAATCTTTCCGTTGCGGGGTCATGCGTGATCCTTGTTACCCTTTTGCGAGAAGCTCTTGACGAAATGTGTGTTGTGAAGCAGTGCAGCTGTTCAAATACTTGGGTACCATTCACATCGTGCCTTGAACTGTTTCTGTCTTTCAACACCCCGTGGCCTGTCGGTTTAAAACATTAGAGACGTCAGGACAGTCAGTTCCCTGTTTGCGGATAACAACATGACGACTTGCTTCTTCGCGGCATGATCGACTCGAGTCCGTGTGAGAGGGAGAGAGAAGCCGCTCAGATTGCTTTGCAACTCGTGCTGCAAACACACATTTTCGATCGCCGATTTGGCGGACAGAGCATCTTTGCGGTAGCATTGAAATCCAACTGGTGAGATACCATGAGCTGCAGACGACCACTCGCAGGCCTAAGCCAATTCGTTTTGCCAGATGTTTCTCTCCGCTTCTCCTGACGGTCGTCCTGCGGATTGCTTTCGGTGAGCACCGCTCGAACATGGACATGCTACAGAACACGCAGGCTTCGGAGATGTAGCTTTATTGTTCCTGCCGACAGTAGCGCGGATCTGTTTCTTTGCCTATAGCCTATGTCCCATCTCGGTTTCATAGCCACCTCCCAATGGCACTAGCAAGCTTCTTCTGCATCGCGCGCCCTCGACTCACATAGTTCTGTCCTCGCATCCCACTCCAAGCCAGAGGTTGCGAAAACAGATCCACGTGCTGCGGCTATGAGCTCAGATGTTTGAAACTGGAGATTATCAGTGTCTTGCAACGTTGCCGGACGGAGATGTTTCCAGAGCTGGAGACAGGTGGTCAAGATTTTCAATACACGGCAGCGTCCTGGTTGGACGGTTCCCTGGCAGGCCGAACCATAGAAGGCTTTGCCAGTAGCTGTTGGTACGTTTACCTTGGCCTTCCCTGCCTCCACTGTTTGTCGAGAACGCTTTTTGTGTTTGCGCCTTGTTGACGCCGCAAGGATCAGCCAGTTGAAAGTACATCAGGCAGCACCAGCCAGGGGTCTGGGGTGGTGGCGCTTGTTTCTTCAGTTCTTCCTTGGTGCGGTTGAGGCTCTGGTGCGGTGATCCGTGCAAGCCCGAAGCTGAGAGAAGGAGCATGCAAGCAAATTGTCGCAGATTGCAGACGCCCGCCTTCCACTCTTCCACGAGCCAAGCATGAAAGCCATATGCGGAGATTGTGCTTTAGGCATAAATGGTGGGGTCCCACGTCATGCAGCCAGCGACTGAGATGAAAAGCTCGAAGAGTGATGCCGGACGCTTCAATTGGCTTTAACCATACACAAACGACGTGTGATATACTTGGTCGCAGAATCCCTCATAGTCCACTCAATGTACTCACTGCCTCTCGTCTTGTTGTCTCAAGTGCAGACTTGCATATAGGTCTCAGGTCCTTTCCTGCAGTTGGGAAGTGTGATCGGCATTGTGGCTGGCAGCTGTGCTCAAGTGTTCTGTGACTTGATGAACGACTTGTAGCAAGTAAGAGTGTCGGACCAGAACGCATTGCACAAAGGCTACAGCAGGCAATGTGCAACGAACCGTCTTGGGAGTGTCGGAGTACACGGGCATTTCCAGCGGACTAAAGGGAGCAACATCTGCAGCCCATGCCAAACAAACTCATCTTCCGAGGGGTTCGTTGTTTGACGTGTGTCTTTCATTTGGATGGGTTTGTTTGATCCGGATTGAGCAAGGGTGGCCAAAGTGTGACCTGCCAAGCGGAATCTGCGGAAGCTGCCATGCGGGAGCCAATTACCACAGCTTTGTACGGAACGTACCGCAAAAGCCGTGCTGAGATGGATTTGCCTTTGTGTCATGCTGGTGAGTTAAAATTCTTCAGAGGGTACGTTATGAGATTACGTTCACAGACCATGCTCAGGTTCTAACCGCTGCACACGTGATTGCGGACAGCAGGTATCTGCAGGCAGGCATTCTAGTCCTGCTGGGTCCAGGGTCCGCCTGAGAGATGCTCGAAAAGGAGACTTTGCGTTGCAGGTGCAGCGCACGAACGATCGCTACAGTGGTGAGAAGTTCCGTCCCGGCCTAAAGCCGTTGACGAGAGACACTTCTTGCTGCTCTATGGCATGTTCGGTAGCAAGCCATGCCCCATACATGCGAGGGCGTGTCGCAGTGAGCTGTGAAGAAACATGTCCTCCTTAAAGGGCCCAAGAGCGTAGTTTCGGGGGGCTCTCGGCTCTTTGTCAGGTTTCTGCTTTGATGTTGAACGCGAGGTGCTCATGTCACTGCTGTCTGCCATGAGATCGACCTGGCCTTGTGCCCCGTCAGATGACTGTAGTGTTGGTCCCGTCGATGAATTGCTGCCCTGCAATGCAACCCCTCAATTCGATCAGACAGGCTGACATTGGAGGAAGACGCCGTGTTGGAGGAGTGCTCCTCTTTGGATAGTGCAGCATTCGTGCGTTGTGTCTTGTCTGGCCTACTGGCCCGCATGCACTCAAGTGCACAAGTCCCTTCACTGCTTCGACCTTAGCCTTTGCTGCATGGGCAGCAGTGCAACTACTTATCACACGTAGCCGTTAGAGGCTGTGAAGCGGCGCCACCGTCTTGGATCGTGGTTGGGAGCCATGCAGCAGTATCCGGCGCTGCCAACCCCCTGCTCGTCAAGCACGGCGAGCAGGTTCAACAAGTTCCTTGGCACTCCAGGGATGTCCACAGCATGCCGTCCCCGGAGCATTCCAGAGAGGCTGCACCACCGCTCCGCAGCAGCAGCTATAGCCGTGGGCACCTTAGCATTTTGTACAACAAGGCGGCGGAACCCGTCCGCCTGCCAGCTTGCTGCAGCAAAAACCCGAGCCAGGCGAGCTCCGACGCCTGCCCGCAAACAAAAAGCTGATCCAAAGCTTGTGGAAAAACGTAAGCAGGCTGTCAGAGAAATTGCTCAGCAAGTGCCTGAAGGTCAAGGTTGGTTGATGGATCCGGCCTTTTTCTTGCAGATCGAGGACGCGGTGTCCGAGATGGAGGAATTGAACTCAATTACTTTCGCAGCAGATTCGGGCGATCTCGAAGGAGAGTGGAAGGTGCTCTTTAGCTCTTCCAACAGTTTGAATGCTGGTACTTTCGGCCTTCTGAACGGTGAGGCACGCCAGGTCATTCGCACGCGGGAGCGCAAGCTGGTCAACACATCATCTTTCTGGTTGGGCTTGTTCCGAATGGAGTGGACCACGTCTTGGAAATCTAGGGGCCCTCTCGGTATGGTGGTGGGCCGTGAGGATTGGTACCCTATTCTCTTCGGCTTTCGCATCGGCTTGATATCAGCCTCAACAGAGGGAATCGTTGAGTGGAAATGCACATACACGGACGAGAACTTCCGCATCTTCCGTGCCTCCAAGGACACGCAGAAAAACCAATCTAGCATCTTCATCCTCGAGCGTGTGTGACAGCCTTGAAGAAGTTGGATAGATGACCGGGCGGCAATGCGAAGCTGGATTCCTTTCCGTCTCACATCATAGCGACGATGCTGACAAACCAAGTCGGAAGGTTATGTGCATTTCTCCCAGTGGCAAAATGACCGACATGCTTCAGCGCAGTTCCGATGCACTGCTTTGCAGCTCCTGCTTTGTTATCCATCTTTCGACGCAGGAGATGGAGCCTTTGATCGTGGGATCTGTTTGTGCCCTGGATTTTTGGTGTCTGCTGACACATCACACCTTCCCGAGCTAACCTTAGTGAGGCTACGGAGCTGCCGCGAGTTTTCGACAAGGCCCCTGTCCGCGCAGTCTTTGTGCCAGGGACAGGGAAAGGCCTGGAGGCGGAGACCTATTCTCTTGCAGATCCTTTGGCCCCATCACATGCTTAGGTGCACTACTTGTGGAGGGAAAGTATCATGTGTGCACAGCTTCGAGCCGATTCAGGTTAGAGTCGTGGGCTACCCTGTCGGTCGGATTCTTAGACAGCTTGGGAAGCAGCAAGAGCATCATGGCCAGCGGGCCATGGATTGCGTGCCAAAGATGAACCATAGTAAGTACTAGTACTGCAGCAGTAAGAGTAACAATAGTACCAGTAATATTATTACCCAGAACAACATAACTGGTAATGGTGATAAGAATATAGTCATATTATCATATTGGTACACGTCTGGCTTGGAGGCTCAACTCTAGTGGAAGTATACAGCGGTCGAGTTATCGTATCAAGGCATGGGATAGACTTCACGGTGCACAATGCTACGTTTGAACATGCTGGCATCAGGTGTACGACTCATCACGAAGTGTGTGCATCACTCATCGGAAACCCGGACCGCTGAAGTGTTTCTAGGGATTTTTCGACCAGCGCGGTGCAGATCGATCGCAACAATGCAGCACAAAGTGTAGCACCGCAAGACACGCATACGCATGCAGGCGGTTCGTTCCTACCCGGCCGATGGGAAAATATTGAAATCGTTGGGCTTTTTGGCTTAAAAATGAATTATGTTTGAACTTCTTTTGACCCGTCCTTTGAAGCATCGGGAAGACGCGATTGACGAGATGTGCAGCCATCAATCGTGGCAGCGGCTCAGGTCGGACGACTTTCTGACATGCACAGGCAGAAATTTACAGCAATGACTCAACGCCTTAGCGCACCGGTGCCCATCCCTCTCCCATCACTCACTGACCTCCTGGTAGCGAAGACGCTGCCCTTCAGATGAGGAGCGTGAGATCTTTAGCAAACTGTCGCCTTCAGCTTGTAGCCGTGCCTGCTACCCGTGGAGCCCTTCCCCGGCCTTTCAGGTGGTGATGCCTGCAGTGTGACAGAGGGAGTCGTCAGTCGCGTCGAGGCTGCTTTGCAGTTCCTGCTGCTGTGTAGTCAGCCGAACAGCAAAGCCCAGTGTTGAATGCCATGCATGGGACACCATGCAGGTACAAGAGTACTCGCACTCTTTGCGGTTTGGGCCAGTGCCATACCACTGCAAGCTGCAAGATGACCAGCTGGCAAGCCCCTCGAAGCCGGAAGAGTATGCTCGTGCGTCAAGGCTAGCCCTCACAGTCGATGCAGCCATTAACAGCCTGCACCTCACCTGTGCGATCACAGACAACTCAACCTCAAGTTCGGCAAAAGCGCAATCAGGTGGCAATAGCGGTGGGCCTCTGGTGGATGCTTCCACAGCACACGTCTACTTCTCAGTGCAACTTTAGGCTGAGTCGTTCTTCACGCAAGTTCTATCAAGCACAAGGTCTGATAGTTCCCTTGTCAGTGGATCTTGCTGTGAGGTTGTTGGGGTTGCCTTTCAGAAAATGGTCGCCAGGGGTGTCGAGCTCCAGGCAAGTTTGCATCTTCACGGCAGTCTTACCGGGCTTTACCGGACATGATATTCCCGCGCAGGGGCATGCCGTTCCATCTCCGGTGATTCAACGATTTCTGGAGGATGTCGCCAGCCACAGCCACAGCGAAAATTCAATTGCAGCTTGGGTTGCAGATTTCCTCGGAATGTCCTCCAGGCGACAGTTCGGAGAGCAGTGACAGCACGCAAACAATTCGTTTGCGAATGCCTTCGCTTGGTTTGAGACTGAGCTTTGAAGGTTATCGTAAAATCCAAGACGCTCTGATTACCTCATTCACACAGACTTTGCCCGCATGGCAAAGTTTGCATAACGCGTAGCATCTTGCGCATGAGCACTTGTAGCCTTGTCGTTAGCAGAGGCTGCGACTACCAGTCCCTGGAGCCCGTAGCATTGCGAGAACACCTCAAGCCATGCCCTCGGCGCCCAGACCAGAGGCTGCAAGGAACATGCTGAAGATGCTTGCCCACAGGTTGGATGGTCGCAGAGGTATTTTAGTCAGCAGGCTGCACAATGCGAGCCCCTGAGAGCATCACGGCGTGATATGGATGCGATCTGATGTGCTTGTAATACAGGGACCTAAAAGATTAGAATAGGGTTTGGGGTATATTCTACTATAACTCCACGAGGAACCGCCAAAATGGTAGAGGTATTATTTTTAGAATTATAGTATAACATACCCCAAAACCCTATTCTAATTTTTTAAGGCCCCTACCTAGTCGACCTTCTAGGCCGGTGACACTCCAGCAGCTCGGGCCTTGGTGAGCGTGGCATTCGTGGGTGCTTAAGACAGCGTTCAATGGGGGGTTCCGAAAAAGAGGGGACCCTAAGATAGTACCCTGCCTGTGCGAGTGTGAGAGTCGAAATAGTAGGGTCCTTCTTATAAGGACCCCAAACTAAGGTACCCCTTGTTTTTCCGAAACTCCCAAATGTGTTGGTATCAGGCTTTGCAAGGCGGCGACGTGCTGATGTCCTTCAACGGCCACAAGCCCGGCCAGCATGTGCATTTTGGCGTGGCGGCAGGAGAAATCACGGCATCCTCCGATCGTGCAGCAACGTCTTTTCGGGACCGATGCTGTGGGGATAAGTTGTCCGGAGTCCTCTACTTGTCGCTACTGAGGCTTTGAATTGGATGAGCTTGGGTTTTGCAGTCTCCTTGGCACCAGCCTTAGACGAGGGTAACTTGCGAGGATGCCTTGGGTGTAGCCGCATGCCTTCGGAGTGATCTTGCACAAGGGCTGTGGAAGCCTCGGCAAGCCCGACATGTTGCTGTGATAGCCGTGGTTTGCAAGCCACCGTCTCTCGAATCGTCAGTCGTAAAGCCTGCGTTGTCTTGATGCAAGATTGGAAGAACTGATCCCCTCGTGCGGCCTTTGTATTCTGATTGCGCGGCTTGGACTTGAGAATCGGAGTGCCAACCTTTGCTTCTATGCTATTTCGACAGCGTCGCACAAGTCCTCTTCATGTCGAGCCGAAATTTGGGATGCATGTAGTGATCTAAAATTACTCTGGCTTCGAGCATATACTGCGAATCTCGTGACATGGTAAGGAGTGATAGGGAATGCGGGGCGTTGCATGCCAGATGTGTTCGGGGAATGCTCACTCGGTGTAGCAGTTTGTCTTGTCGACGTCGTTGTATTGTTTTCGTGCTCGGAATTTGCGGAAGCCGTGTAGTGTCTCGCGGCGGCACGAAATCAGTTGAGCGCGTACAAATGCAATGTCCTCGACAATTAGCGGGTTTGCCGTATACTGCAAGGCAGAGTTTACGGTTGTTTAGTGCGTCGGTGGCACTGCCAAACGATTGAAGCAGAAGCACCTCACCACATGCCACAGCAACGGTGCATGTATGAGTCAACAGACTGTGCTGCAACAGCCCATTTTGCTTGTCTAGAGTCTAGACAGATGCCAATCCATCCGCCGGTCTGTACACCAAGGACGCCGTTTGCATTTTGGTGCCGCGCGTGACCTTTGCCAGCAGCCTAGCGCTGATGCTCAAATTCGGCCCAGTCTAATGCTTTTCAATGTGAACTTACTAATGGCCCGTTACTGACTGCTACGGCTGCAGGCCGTGTGGGTGCCACTGTGACAATGAAAGTATGGCGATCACAAGTCGAGCAGACGGTCCAACAGGCACATGGCCACTTCCGCCGGTTCCGAAATGTGAGGCTTCGGCGGGTATGGTGACTTCGACCTTTTTGTTTGGTTGTCCATCCAACCCCCTTTCCCTAATCTCTCAGTCTGTTTGGAGACTCTGCTTAGCTTCCCCCCACACACACATGGGTCTGTAGTCATTCAGAGAGTAGCACCAGTGAAGACCGTTTCAGCTCTTCAGATCAGGAGCTGAAGCCTAACGCAAACAGTGCCGAAAGTTTTGAACAGGGTGATAAACATTGTAAAGCAGCCGGTGCTGCATCCATCCGTTGCATGTCAGCTGCATCAACGATTTGCATCAAAGACGAGTACTCCCGTGCATTCTGGCAGGTCTTGCAGCCTGCACGTCACTTGGTGCCCAGGCGATCGTTGTGCACAGAGAATCGCAACTAGGCGGAACACATCATCCAATGATCCAAGCTGCTACGTGTACTGTCAGCGAACTTTGACTTTGCTGCTTTGCTGAAGGGTGTGCTTTCCGATGCAGGGGTCAGTTCGACGTGCGGCCACGCTTCTTCATGGTCGGCGGACTGGTCTTCCAACCATTGAGTCGGCAGCTTACGTGGCAAAGCCTCGAGACTCGAGCCTGTATGGGGCACGCGTCTGCTCTTGTCGTTGCGACGTAGCTGGGCTCCTTGCAGCCGCTTCGGACGGAGGGTTTCGGAAAGTTGTCGAGTCTCCAAAGTTCTGCAGGTGGCACGGATGGAGGCGTAGCAGACGTTGGCCGTGGAGATCCGCAGCATTTCGGATTGGGCCACGGGCCACCACTCTTACCACAGTGACTCTCCGTGCGGCAATGGCGGCGAGCCATAGCTGTCGCAAGCGGAGAGTCTGGCCGCTGATACTGCTTGGCGCCATAGGTACACAAACGACTTTCGTGCCCCCCGCAAAGAGCGATAGCTCCATAAGAACTTTGGCAGCACCACGCGGAAACAGTCCCGCTGCCGCATTGGCCATGACCCCTCTCCTTCTCAGTACTCCTGCATTTGCACAAGAAGAGGCGGGCTTTGCCTCGGCCTTTGTTGCATACGGCCATTATCTTGGCTTGGTCTTGTCTGCAGCCTGTCTCGTGACCGAGCGCTTGACTGTGAAAGCTGGAATGACCAGAGAAGAGGAGCAACGATTGCAAGTCACAGATGCGGTATATGGACTGGCTGCTGTGCTCATCGTGGTTACAGGCTACCTGCGGGTGACGCAGTATGGGAAGGGCTGGGAGTTTTATCAGCACGAGCCGATATTTTGGGTGAAGTTATCTCTTATTGCGGTGACAGGTGCTGTCTCCTTTTTCGTGACGACCACGGTTGTGAAGCGTGCCATCGCACAGAATGAAGCAGGAGATAAGGACATTGCACCCGTGTCAGAGAAACTGGCCAATCGAATGACCAGCGTGATCAATGCGCAGCTCCTGGCGATCGGCTCCATCCCTTTGGCTGCTACGCTCATGGCGCGGGGGGCCTTCTACGCCGATTGGCTGCCGTGGCAGGCAGGTGCACTCCCAGCTGCGCTGCTGCTGGTCGGGCTGGGCTTCAGGTATGTCAAGGAGGCCCTCGACTGGACTGACGATGAACCTGCTGCGGCTTGAGACTCCAAGCAAAGAAGTGTAGTGCAAGGTAGCGATTATCATTTCCAGACCCAACAGAACCGCTGGCAGCGTGCTCAAAACTGCGCGTCGACAAGTGGAGACATGTGCCACAGGGGCTCAATGCTGTATACTGTATTACTTCTAGACTTATAAGCCGCCATGCTTCCTTAACACCTTCCTCTTATCCCAGGCAACGAGTACCTACAAGGTTGGGCCGCCAACGACAGGCCGTCGCACCTGCAGGAGATTCCGAGAGATTCCGGATCTGAGTCGGAAATGGCCTCCCCGACGATCCCGGCAGGACTTGTTCCTATCGGGTCACGTGACTCCGGAGAGGGACGAGGTTGTTATTCTAACACAGGCCTGTGAACTCTGGAAGTTGCCCAGCCAAGCTTCTGAGCCTTTTGAATGGTTGTGTTGTGATTGGGCTTTGGAGCACTTAGCCTAGAGGTGATGTCGATGGATTAAAGGCTCCGGTGCCTACCCCACAAGGGAACACAGTGGTGTTGACACCGGAGTGGAGCGCAGTGGGGCATCGTGCCCAAATGGAGGATACTCCTAGCTGCCTGTCTTGTGCTCAACGAGGAATGGCTCGGGCGAAGGATGTCTCTGGGGTTGACTGGGTTTGGACAACTCCAAACTCAAGAGACGACAGAATTGGATACGGTTGGTACTTCTCGCAACCCGCACGATGCGACAAGTCGCACGGCAACGGGTGAAAACGGCAGACGCCGCTAAGTCCAAGGAGCGACCAGCCAGAAAACCTCGAACATCCTCGAACCACTGGCACACGCGGGAGTGAATCAATGTGCTACACTTTCCGTTGTGTTTGGCAGCCAGCACCTGCGGACTTGCGGGCACCGGCAGGTGCTGGCGGACACCATCAACACAGGCATTTCGGCAGAGCGAGACAGGGAGCGAGAAATGCCGGAAGACCACGATGGCGCGTAAGAGTGATGACTGCAGGCTATGACAGTGGCTGGGTTGGGGCTCCGCTGGTTGATCAGGTCAATGGAGTTGCCGCCTCGATCTTAGAATGCGACTGATGTGGGCGCAGGGATAATGCGGGTAGGCACCAGCTGCTGAGTGCGCCGGCTGTCATTTCGCAGCGGCTGAGGTGCGAAATTTGCACCATCTCGTTGAGCTGGTGCATGACTTAGTGGAGTTGGTTCGGATGAGTTGGCGCGGCTGATGAAGTTGTAGCATTGTAGCTTGGGCGACTGCCGGGCTGATGATCCTAAGATGGCACGCAAAGCCAAGCAACATGAGCCGATGAAGTGTCGCAGCAATGCGGGTGATCATGAGATCTTTCCACGATGCGTGGAGACTGCTACAATAGGAACATGGAGCATCGGCACAACCCCAGGGTCTGGGAATGCCCGATGCTGCCGTTCTGAGAGTGGCATAGGCTCAAAGTGCAGCCGTCCAGCCGCACAAAGGGATAGAGGATTCTGCCCCGGGTGCTCGACGGAGGGGAACTGCACGCAGTGGGACCAAAATGTCCACATACCGACACATTTGATGCACTGTCGTAGGGTAACCCCTAGGCCCACACATCCAAAACCCGATTCTAATTATTTAGGCCCCTATGGCTATGTTGAAAGGCCGCCACGGTCAGCCTCACAGCCTCGGTGCTGCGCCACATCCGAGGTGGACACGTGCCGCAAGCACTCTTCTTCGGGTGATCCCGGCTTATGGGGGGGGGCACAGAATCGTTTAGCTGAAGCCGCATGGCAATGGAACCGTCGTTGTTGGTTGCAAACATGGCTCAAGACGACCATTCATCGCATGGAAGTAGGGGAGAGAGATCTTAACTCCTTTGCAGCAACATGTCTCATTTCTGGAGTGGCTGTGAACTCTCCACCCCGATTGTTTGCAGAATAGCTCAGACAGTGTACTCGGTCCCTACCTGGCTCCCTTCATCGCTGGGATGACGGAGTTCAAGCGGACCACGCAAGCTGTGGATGAGACACTACGACATGTTGGTACAGGTTGTTTTGCTCCACCAGCTGTTTCAGGGTTTAGGTTTCACTGAGACTTGTTAAGTGACTCTCAGGCCGCATCTGGCACAGTTCCAAACTGGCTAAGGATTGAGGCCACCACACAAGCGCTGCTTGATGGTGAGACTCGAGATCTGCAGCACTTGGGCGAGCTCATCGGCAAGACAGGCCATGGTGTTTCGCCAAGCTCAGACGTCGGGCCTCGATTTTCAATGCAGGTCCGACAGTTGAAAAGCTGAGCCGGAAGGCCGCCGAAACTGAGCCTTGTCAGCCATGAGTCATGAAGATCCGGGTAGCAAACAATGGGAGAGCTTGAACTCAGGACCCGGCGAGACAAACTTATGGACCTCAAATGCGAGAAAAGGTTATTGCGCTGGCCGAAAGATGGGCAACTGCCGGCGGCCCAGTTCCGGCCAGGTTGCAGCTTCCAGCAAATCCCAGCGAAGTCTTGCAAGGTCGGGGGCTTGGCCCGCGATGTCCTTGCAGCAAGAGGAGGCGACGTAGTCATGGCCTCGGAGGAGAAGTCCGTACGAGTCGCTCATCCCATCTACTGTGTGATATGTGCGAGCACCCGAAGCCCAAGAGACGCAGGAAGCCGCCGCCCCGCCACCGCCTCCGCGACCGCAGAGCTCGGTGCTCTGGCAGCCCCCTCAGGCGCGGCTTCGCCGGTTCCGGAGTTGCCATTTCTGCATCTGTGGCCGGATGTGGAACAGTCGGAAAATTCCGACCGAAGCCGCCACATTCATGATTCTAGTGTGACGACAGGTGACTGAGTCCATGTGTGAGAGAGAGAGAGAGTGTGTGTGTGTGTGAGACAGGGTGACAGTCCTTATGCATTTCGATACATACTTGCGGGAGTTTGATGCTTGCTACAAACTTCTTGCAGAAGCAAGCAAGGCAGAAGCACAGCGCAGTATGCCAACCTCATCTGCTGCGCCTGCATCTGCGGTGGCAGCACCGACGCAAAGGCTTACGAGATGGAGTTGGCTGAGTCGCCGCATGTTGCACTGTGTCTTTCATGTGGGGAGGGCACAAAACATCACAAAACTATCGGGTTGCACCGGCCTGTATAGTGCAGCTACGAGATGCTCTCGGCAGCCCCTCTTGCACGTTTCCAAAAGCCCTACCTACTTCATGTCTGCTTGTGTCAGTGAGCGACGAGCACGGGCAGCGGCAGCAGCTGAGAGCCGAGCAAAAGGAGGCAGGACGATGGCATGCTGCGAAAGGTGCTTGATACAGTACTCGCTTCCTGCAGATTTTGCAAGCACCTATGCGCAAACTCCTGATCATTTGGGATGCCTCCATGCCTTTCTGTGCGCGCAGGCAGCAGCTCTATCATTGCAGAGACTGCTCCTGTTGCACCGAAACTCCAGCAGCCAGTGGTCGCAAGGACTCTTTGCCCAGCAGGGATTTTCCTTTTGCTCATCTAGGTTTTCAGGAGTGAAGCCCTTGATTGTGCGATCTTTGGCTAGGTGTTCAGTGTCTTCAGACCCAGCTAAGGATGGATGCCTTGATTCATGTTGTGCACTGCGTTTTCGTTGGCCACGGCTACACCAGCGAAGAGAAGCAGGAGAGTCGGGCGGTTGCTCTTCGGAGTTCTGCTAGTTGCTCAAGGTGAGGATATCTGATGACCGTGCTGCAGTATAAGAGATCTGCTAGACTTGCTGTTAGCCCAGCTCCGATCTGTCCCATGGACATGTTGCGTTTCGGTCAGACCCGCATACGGCTGCGAATAGTCATTGCTCTCACCAACAGAAAGTCAGCTTGCCACCTGTTCATGGCACTTACCCTGTTGGAAAGCTTCAGAACTACAGCGCCGGGAGTTTATGGCAGGACATGAGAGAAAGAGCGGCGGTTTTCGAGTTCGTAGCGCGACCTCCAAACAAGCGAGCAGGAGTGCTGTGGTCACTATCGCTTGCACTATGCTCATGATCACAAGCCGCCCATTCGAGTAACTTACGATGCTCTCCTGCAAGTATATCAATGTGCATTCATCGTTGGGTCCTTTCATCTTGCACGGGATGCACAAGCAAGGTCCCTTTGCAGCGGCATCTCGTCACATATGCTGCTTCCATGCAGTTCGACAACCCACTCAAGGCCAGACCGTTTTGTAGTTGTAGTCTCAAGTGGCGGTCGTTCTGTGTGAAGTGCGCGACAGGCGACCGTCCAGGTTGGCATGCCAGCCGCCGCAGTTCAAGCGAAGATCGACTACTTGCTGCGCTTCCTCCGCGATGGCGTAGTCATGCGTAGTCTTCTTTAGAGAAGAAGTGCGTGGCTTGAAACAGCCCCCTTTTTGTTGCGCACCGTCGAAGGCTTTACCCTTTGCTCTACCGCCAGTGTGTGCCAATGTTGACAGCCACGCCGCCTGAGGCCGCCCTGAAAACAAAGCTTTATGGAACGCTGTTCTTTGCAATGCTAGTTTCTTCCGGTGATGTAGGCGCTTTTCGGCTTCATCTGTTGCCTTTCGATTCCAGTGCCTTGGCTGAGTTTAGGATTAAGGTTGCCAAGCCCTGCTGTGGATATTTGTTATCCCGCGATAAATGGGTGCTGTCAGGTTTGGGTAATGTCCTTTGTGGGATGTCGTGGCGGCGTTGTTATTTGGGGTCGAGTGCTGTGGCTGTTTCAATGAGCATACAGAGACGTCAACGGGCAAATTCGGCAGCTTATGGATCGGGATCACGGTGCGGAGTCGAGGTTCTGTGCGTGAAAGGTTTCTGAGCTCGGGCATCAAGAGCAACTTGTGATCTGGAGGTGTCCGGGGGGTTCCGGGCCTGGCATGGGAGTGCCAGGGACTATCATGAGAAGCAGAGCCTAGCAGGAAGTTGGGGATTTGGATCGTGTGGGTGCTGCCCCGCGAAGGAACGTATAATGCTATGAGCGATTAGGGGAAGTTGAAGCTTTTGTCTGGATTCGGGGGTTTGCAGGGTGCTGTGTAAGAAATGCTCTAAGACTATGGCTTAAGAGTTGGCCTTGGATGCTGTAGAGGACCAGCAAGGGACCTAGAGAAATGTACGAAATTTGGGTGTGGTCCAGGGGTGCTGTGTCGGGTGCTACCCTGTTGGGCTGTGGACGGGCTAGCAGCAGGATAACAAAACGGCGGTGTATGTCAGTTGCTTATCGCATGCTCTGAATTTGGCACAGGCAGAATCTGATATCCTCTGTAGCAGCAAGAAGCCTGGAATTTCCCTTGTTGGTTTTGGGATGTACATGATTTTTTGGGCCATGCATTTTATTTTTTTGGTGAAGTTATGAACTTGGACATATGCAGGATACAATCACACGCTGCCGACGTTTTCCACCGTGCAACCAACAGCCACAACTGAAGTGCACATGCCGCTAGCACTTGGTGCTGGGCCGGGCGAGAGTCACACAAGCGTTTTGTAAATTTACAATGTTTTCTAAGCTGGACTGCCTCCAGTAGATCTGTTCTGCCAGACCGTTGGAATGTAGAACATGATGTGTTGTCATGCTGCTTTTTGACAAGGCAGTAGGTAGCGTAGCATTGTCGACTGTAGCCGCCGTCGTGCGTGCAGCATAGCAGTATGCAGTTGCACCGGAGTCGCTGGAGTCTGTGTGCGCAGCTGCCTAGGGAATCGTACCTTTCGACGACACAATCATGCATGCAACCGAAGCATTCTGAATGATCAGTCGTGAGAAGTGCACATGAGGCTTTGTCAGCGGTGAGCTCGACTTGCCGAAGCCTTTCTTCATCAATCATGGACGATGATCCTTGGGCAAAGCCATGGCGTAAAGCGCCGTATAGCAATTAGCCGAGCCGGCCGCAGAACGTTCGGGCTGAGGGTGTGTGCAATCCGAGGATATTGTTTGGCTGCGGGTGGTGCTATCTCTGCCCCAAAGCCAACACATCCAGCAGGAGCTAGACGCGTTGAGGAAACGAGAGGGCAACGGAGAGGCGAAAGCTCTGATAGTTGAGTACTGTGACGTTGAAGACGGTGTCGGGTTTCCTTGCGACGAGGCCATCCCACGCGGAGCCTACCGCAATCTGGTTCGTGCCGAGGTAGGGATCAGGAGCCGACGCACGTATCTGTAAGTCTCGTTCTCGCTATGCCGATCAGATCGGATCCAGATTGCTTTCCGAAGCACAAAGTGTCTGTTGGCTTGAATGAGTCTGAATGAGTGAAACTAGTGAAACCATTGAAGGTGCAACGGGCGCGTCGGGAAGCTGAAACCGCACAGCGCAGAAGACAGGAAGCTATGGCCGAGCGAGGCAGGCTTTGCAGAAACGGTGGCCAGTAGTCACCACCAGTACAAACGAGTACCAACACTAGGGCTTGCGACTGCAGGCAGGCTAAGAGAAGGGCTGCTTCAGCCACGGCGTGCCATGCCGAGTTTGGACCTGTCGGTCTGCACATTCCAGGTTCAACTTCTTTAAGCATGGCTTCTAAGGCCCGCAGATGCCAGGAGGAGGCTTTCCCTTCGCCAGAGGCTGAGACGGATGCGTCGAGGTTTCGAGAACTCGACACAACACGAGCACTCTTCGCTGTCGCTAATGGTGACCAGGTTTTTAGCCGGAGTAGAGACACTCAGCCGAAACGCTGCAGGTCATTGGCGGACCTCACGATTTGGAGCCCCCTGGTTTTCGACCACCGTTGCAGCCTGAGTAAGCACTTAGACTTGAAAGCCCTTAGACTGAGTTGATGGAAGTGCTGAGGCCAAACCCATTTCGCGGCTCCGTTGCAAACGAGATTTGCAACTCGCTGCCGGCATGTTGCCATTGCCACCAACTTTTGCGGCTACAGACTCATACCACGCCGATGGCTACCAGTGCCGCAGGAGAGAGAGCGAGACAGATGCACATGTAATTTCCTAGGGAAAGAGAGGCATGTGAAGCGCTCTGATTCTCAGGTGGCGGTGGCGGTGGCTTCGGAGGAGGTTTCGGACCACGCTTCCATTGAGCAACAGGACAGATCATGATTCGATTGATAATCAGGCCACACCATGACAGCGTTTCGTGCGTAGATACCAGTCAAAGGCTTATGTGCCCCATCTTTGGTTTGGCTTGGCCCCCGTGTTTGCCAGGAGTGTCGCGTTAGGCCGTCTGTCGCTTCTTAGACATCGCCATCGCCGATTGCTACAGCGGCCGCTGGCGTGTGCCCAAAACGCCTGCATGCGTGAGATAGAGCCATCTCGAAGCTGAGCCCGTGAGCACTTGAAGTGAGATGCGAATCGTGCCAGACTTTTTGGCCGTCACTGTCCGGCTCGGAGGTGGGTGCTTGACTCAGGCAATAGGAAGTGCATGCAGAGAAGTACGTGATACAAGTATGCTGCCTGCCAAGAGACAGGAAAAAGAAGAGCCACCGAGCAAGAAAAGAAGACAAAGTTGCAGTGGACCTGTCTTGCGCACTATGGACGGGCACGTCGCACTGGGATTGCAGGGTGCATTTTCACACACAGAGACACCCGCCAGACGGCCGCGTAGCAGGGATCACCCGGGACCAAACTCGTTGGACAGAAGGAGGCGGAGGCAGAGAAAACAGTCAGTGAGCCTTGTCCGAATGACCTCCTGCAGCTGAGGTCCGGCAGGTCTTGCGGCTGTAGAGGGTTCGCCCTCACATCGCTAGCAAGATAGCAGCTGGGTTCGCCATTTGCCTGACAAAAAATTGGAGCCATTCTGTTAACACATGTAGCGAAAGAAAGGAAAACTGGCCCAAGTTCGGTCGGTAGCCGGGCTCAAACCCAGAAAGCAGACAGGCATTGCCCGACATCCAAACCAGAGAGCAGACTCACCCACTGAGGCCGTTTTGCATAGCTTTGCCTTTGCACGGTCTGGATGAAGCAGGGCACTCAGGTCACTCAGGGGCGACCCGGTGAGTGGTGATCGATAATTGAAACACCAGCAGGCTGACCGGAGGATTTGCTTGACTTATGGATTGCCGGCACCTTAAGCATGCTGAAGTGGTGTAGACTGGCACTAGGGCCGAAAGCAGACCAAGGCCACCGAGAACCGCAGGGGATGCGCGACACCTCTCTGGCAGGTCTTAGTGGCCGGAAAACGAAGGAGCCCAGCATTTTCGATTGCATCTCTCTCTCTCTCTCTGTCTCTTCCGCAGACTCTAATTTATGCACCTACCTTCAACAATCATTATCTTGCCATCTTTCGGCCTAGGATGGGTTTGGATACGAGGGAGTGATTTTTGCGAATCAGAACCTCTATGATTATAGACTGAATGACTTGGTCGGTTGGTCGGGGTTCGACATATCATACGCTACCCGTAAATTTTGCGAGATATTTTGCAAAATTTAAATTTGTAATTGAATTGTCAATAACGGGTCTTGCTAAATAGCATGGTTCTCGTGGCTCATTTGGCCTGATATTATTAGAACATTAATTCTATTCTAGAGAATATAATATTGCAGGTCACTTTTTCTTCACGCGCCGAATTTCCGGATTACTATTTCTTCTAAATTTCTGAACAATTCACGAGCCTGGGACGGCTTTACACATATATTTCTTCGCGCTAGCATATATCTCTTAGCACTAATATTTATAGCTTTCATCGGAAATATATTACTGGGCGTGATCTTTATTTTATGAATTGGGGGAAAATCGTGTTTGTAGAGTTGGATTAGTATCTTCCTATCTTAAAAAATAAATTATTTTGAAAAAATATAAATTTCTCATAAACCGAAATATTATTTTTAAATATTTTTTATTATTTATCACTATTTAATATAAAAAAAAACGTTTGCTTGTCGAGAGTGAATGCTAAAAAAGAAATTTAGATAATATGAATATAAATTATATATTTAATAAATTTTAAAATTAAATATTTTTGAATAATTAATCTTTTAGAGATATTACTTGATTGAATTATCTTATATTATTTTGCATATCTTCATATATGTTTAAATAATTAAAATTTTCTTATTAAATCGAATAATATTTGATTATAGAAAAAAATAAGGAAGAGATTTATTCTTATTTTAATTATTAAAATTAGATTTCTTTTTTTTAATAATTTGAATTAGAAATTTATTAATATTTACTTTTGCTTTCTGAAATTATGAATAAAAAAGGAGTAGATAATATTATCTAAAATTTCGACTCCGATTCTAAGTATTAAATAAATTATTTATATATATATAATATTAATTTATTATAGAGATGAAATTATTTGATAGATAAATTCAGCTCGGTTATCTCGGATTCTGTGTCGACGCAATGCTTCTAAAAAACCTGGATGGAGGAATAACGAATATAAACCTTATATATTTCGATAAAAAAGACTCCAACTAAGAGCGCCTAAATTATATAATTCTAATATCATGAGAGTCTAAATCTTATTTTATTAAAAATTTTTTTCTTGCAGACGTGATTCAATCTATGCAACTAGAATACGAAGAGTTGGTAGAAAGTATGAGTTTTCGGGTTGTTTAACCATTTTCTGGTGCAATAAAATGCGTTATTTTTAAGAAGTTTGCACTTGCGCGCATATACTTATAGAAATTCAATCCCCATTTCAATTCTTTAAAGAAATTTCGGTGCTTGCATATATTTATTTTTTTGCAGAAGAATTATTTTATATATCAAATCAATATCAATATTTTCTCATTATATTTCTAGATTTTCTCATACATCTACTAATTTCAAACCAAGAAAAGAATATAAATATCCCTAATAAGATATATAATAAAAATATTAATATCTTCCAGATAGGAAGAATTTAATAAATATTTATTTCTTATCGAAATTTATAATCGAAATTTAAACTCTAAATCTAATTTATCTCATCTCAGACCCCAAAACTCACTCGAGATTCAGAATTCGAATTCAAAATAAATTCGTAATTCGAATTCAACATTCGTAATTCAATGTTCGGTAATCGAAATTCGAAATTCAAGTTTTTGGAGTTCGGAGTCGGAGTTTTAAATTCGAGAATCAGAATTCGAAATTCGGAATTCTAGTTCGGAGATCGAAATTTTTATATTATGAACTAATTTATTTCGATCGTTAATCTCCCATTATTGGAAATAACGAAGTCATTCTAGTAATATTAAATCTGAATTTTTATATTAGATTCAATTTTTAAGCTACTAAACCAATATAGATTAAGTAGAAAAACCTGAACTCTTCACGACCAAGAAGGATTTTAATATTTTCGGAATGGCTCCAAGTCTTTCGAGCTGCGAAAGCCAGCTTGTCACGAATTCTATTTCTCTCGCCGCTCCTGATCTATCCCGTGATCATGTCGATTTGGCTTGCTTCTCGAGATCCCAGTAGCAGAAGAAAGCATCCGTTGTGGTCACGGGACGGGAGCTTGCTTTGCGAAAGATCTTCCGGAAGTTGAGAGCTTACAAAGCAACATCCCAGGTTGCGGCTGGTTTGTTCCAGCCTTAACTTTAAACAAGTTCAGAAGGCTGCAGACCGAAGCCGACTGGAACGTGGAACGTTGGCACATTGCAGTGCAGCGACAGCCTGCCGTTCTCACGGACATTTCTTTGTATCCACGACCTCTGAACAGCCAGCCCTGAGCCCACGCCGACCAAACACATGCTCAGCTCAAAACTAACACCTGCTCAGATTACTCGAACCAATTCAATTTACACTTAGTGCACCGAGACTGCCAGCATCTCCTGTGTTGGCGGTCAAAAACGAAAGCCCAAGAGGTCTAAGCTTTCGCTTCAAGTCTCAAAGACAAAGTTGTGAGTGCCAGGGCATCCCGTACTCGGCATCTTAAAGATCAAGCAAGACTCTGCGACGCACTTGCGGCGATCTTCAAACTGAACGGGCGCGCTTTCGCGCAGCGCCGCACACAGCAAGTGAAGGCTTCGGTTAGATGCAGCCAGTTGGTAGTGCAGCAGTTGTCAGGACTGAAGAATACCAGTATGTCCAAACTGTGGCCCTCGATGGTCTTGGATTCTTTCGTTGCTGGGAACATGGTTGTCAACAGCGAGAGCTAATGCACAAGGGCTACATGGATAGATGGCACAACTGAGGCTGTTGAGGGCTTATGCGCCTCGAACCTACTGAGCCACGTACAAACCCTGAAACCTCAACAAACCATACCAGTAGGCCCTAGCCCTAGGCCGTGTGTAGTGCAAGACTACGCTTGCAGACCTACTCGGAAATTTTCCTGTCCAGCTCGAAGCCACTTCAAAGCCCTAGCAGCCCCTCTCAGTGGGAACTTTATAGGATCTCGTTGATTCGTCTGGAGGGAGCGGCGATGCCAGTCACAGCCAAAGAGAAATCATTTAGTCGACCAGAGCGTGCGTTGTTTCCCTCCGTGTGATCGCGCTCCCACACTAATCCAATTTGGGCAACCGGCTGCATCCGAGACTCGCATGCTTTCACATTCAAGGCGCTGTGACATGTTCGCCAGCACGTCGTGTGCGATCTTGAGTGAACGTATCGCTCATTCTGTACGCGAGCTCTCGGGCTCACAAACCTGATACTCGCAACTGAACCGTCAAGGAAATGACGCAGCAATGTATTGACCTTGCTTAAAATTGTCTGAGCAAAAGCTCCAGAAAACCAGATGGTGGTCTTCACCAAGTCTTCAAACATTTAGGTAGTCTTCAAAAACCTGCACATCACAACAGTGGGTAATTTCGTCTGCTGTGATTGTTCATTGGGGAAGTGCTTGTGACGACAAGTTGAACTGGCAACATCGTTTCTCGGAGTATGACATGGAAGAGATTGGATAGAAAAACCTGTCAACTCTCAGCAGTTCCCCAGTCAGGCATTAATTCAAAAATTCAGAGGCGACTTGAGGGTGAAGGTCCGGTCTTGGTGGTGGTCAGGCAGCCTAGGAGCGGCAACTCCCCATCATGTTTTGGTCTAGTATAGCGTACTGTTTTAGATTAGATCATAGTATGCTATATTATAGTAAACTATGTTATGCCATTACAATATATTATAGTAAGTATAGTTTACTCTAGTAATTTTTATAGACCTGAGCTCACTCACAGCTGCCATAGAGTCAGATCATGACCTACCCAGTTTTATATTCACCTGCCAACTACATCCAAGCACCAGGGGGCAGGTGTAGACAGGTTGGTGCAAGCGGGTGTTCGGCGATGGTGGCAACACGAGCAGCAGCCGTACTCAGCAGCATTTACTGTAGTGCTGGCGATTTGTCGGCAGGAACCTACAGGTTTTGAAGGCAAAGACGGCCCCACAGAAGAACCTCGAGCTGGGCTCCCACGCGAGTTTGTCACCAGGATCTCGTCTTCCTACATTTCTTCCGCCTCCTTCTTCGACGTTGTGTCAGGATGTTGCATAGGAAAGCAAGCAGCAAGTGCTTGGGACAAGGGGCATTGGAATGGACACACGCATGAGAACAAAGCTGGTCCTGAACCCTGTCCTTTGGAGACAGCTCTTCTGTGGTCCTCAGGGCTTGCAGTTCTTCGCAAAGGAAAGATCTTTCCCTGCATTCACTAGTAGGTGAGAAATTTTGGATCACTACCGATGCCTGCTCCAACTGACACTCAAGAGTTGGCCTCACATCTGATCAGGTGAATTACCCCCTTACCAAAGCCAGAACAGGCTCTAAACCTGATCCACTAGATCGCCCAGGGACGCGTCGTTCTCAATTTCCTCCTCCTGCGCAAGGCCCACAAGGGGCCAGGCTCGCAAAGGCAGCAAAGCCAACTGTCTGAAATGAAACCGAGTTTGACCGAACCGGAGAACTCACTTGGGCGGCACCTGTGCCTGAACAGGAACGAGACACCGGGGCCTTCATGTGCCCTGTCGGCTCCGTGTCCATGACTTTGCTGTTATCCTCGCAAGCAGCTGGCATCAAAGAAGCTCCGGGCACAGACGTTGCTCGACGATAGAAGATGCGTAACGCTCACTTTCTCGAGCAAGTCGCATCTTCGGAGCTCACATGCTTGGCTTTGTGTGCTTGGCGAACCTATTTCGGCAACAGGCGAGTATGTCCACCTCCAGAGCAACTATCAATCCGCTATCCCAAGCATCCGTGTTGCGACGGCGATCCGTGTATCTGCCTCGCACGTGACTACGGGCTCAGATCCCCGCAAAAGCTCGTCTTGCCCTTTCGCAGAACTCGCCAGTTCATTTGGCCCATCCCACCAAAAAAACAAATTTCCAGCATGCCCTCTGCGAATCACCGCTAACACATGCCCACGCGTCCTTGTGCTGTGAGGCATGCGAGGCATTTTCGGTGCCGCTGCCAGAAAGGCTAGCAGACCGCACACCCAGCTTGACGGCCATGTCCACCATGAGCCTCCCAGGAGTTTAGGGTTTAGGGTTTCGGGTTTAGGGCACCATGAGCCTCCCAGGAGTAAGCACCCTGTGCCCTCTGTCGGCAGGTCAGCTTCTGAAACGCTCAAGTATCCTAATCCGCCTGACGCTCTCAAGTTCGCATTGCCACGACATGCGCGGCTTCACTTCGCACAGTAGTCTCAGCATTATCTGCGGCCATCAAGTGTATTCAGACTCTAACTCGAACATACACTGGAAAATCTCGAAAATTAGCAAGCACGCGCAAGACCAATTTGCAAACAACCGAGCAAGGTTTCGTTTTCGCAGTGTCTTTATGGTGATCTGCTGCTGCCAATGCAGCTCCTGATCATGCCCGCCGTTCCTTCTCATCCTCTTGCCGCTGCTGTTGCTACTGAAAACACTGCCCTGCTGCTTGTCTTGCGACTACGACGACGACGACGTCGACTAGTACGACTACGACTATGTGACTACGAGTAGGGCTCTGGACTCTAAATGTTTGGCCCAAGAAAACATTCCAGCAAACCGGGTCAAACGTCGCACTGTGCGCCTGTCCATCTCTTCGAACTTGCCCTTGGTCATCCTCCAGGTGCTTGGCTTTCCGTGTGTTGCTGGTTGGGCACAGGCGTCGCCCTCTTACATTTGGGTAGGTCGGAATTAGCAGCATGAACACGGCCTACCTGCCGTCACAGCCTCTGCTTGCAAGTTAACCAAATTGAGTGTCTTCTTGGCTTAACTGCTGCGGAGACTGGAATGTGTCTATGCATTTGCTGCTTATGCTGACCTCAACACATCAGCTTGGCGGGGATTTCGGATGTGTGTGTGTGTGAGCGATGTGCACATGCAAATGGCACGGCAACCTGGCATTCTGCTTAGGACTTACGATCATCCATCATATACTACATGCTCGCCATGGAAGGATCTAAAGCAGCCTGAAGTCCTCGGTCCCTCAGACTTACCCGCAGCTGACGAAGGCACTAGGGAACTGAAGGGTCTTTCGGCTAGCGCGCCCACTGACAGTGTGCGAGCGCTGGTGGTAAGCGGTAAGACTCTCGTAAGCTGGGAAAGGCAGCCTTGTCAACCGACCGACTGCGCTGTCATCCACGGCCTGGCTGATCCGCTCACTGCACACTTCGAGCTTTGTCTGCTTCGACGGTCTGAGACATCAGAGGCCTCTTGTACACGGTTGAGGCTCCAATGCTGTGTTTAGAACTTTCGGCTCGGCCCACATAAACCACAGCCCATATCCATGCAGGAAAGGGTTATGCAAACGTTGGTTGCGAAGCGCACTAGAATGCACTAGATATCCAGAAAGACGCGCGCCAAATCAGGGTCAAGGCTTCCAAAGACTCCACATGGAACTTTGCTGCTAAGTTGCTGCTAGCTCAATGAAAATCAGAGGCCTTCGCTAGGGCGATTTGGCGCAAGATAACGGCCTTTATTATCAGAGTAGGGTCCTATTTTTCCTGTAGGAACCTGAGAGGAATGCTGGTAGTTTACTTCCCGCCCAAAACCATAAACTCCTGAACCCTGAAACCATAAGGCTCAGCCTACACTCTGTTTGAAGATAAGGGCGTGAATAGTCAAAATTTTGTTCTAGTATAGTTAAAATAAGGGCTTAGTGTTCAGGATTCAGCGTATACTGAACATAAGGGGCCCTAGAAGAATAATCCCGACCCGACCTAGAAGAGTCTTATCCTCAACCCTAAACCCCAAACCCTAAACCCTAAAGGCCCTCAAGGGGGGCGCTCAAGTCAGGCCTCGTCAAGGCTTGGCCAGGGAAGCTCGGGATTCGCCAGGCCTCATGAGCCGAGGCACACTCGGCTTTCGGCTTTAGTATTATTAGGGGTACCCCTTAGAGGGTACCCCTTCTGAACCCTACTTTTGGCTCTCTTAAACGGGACCTTATTGAGTCCCCCTAATCCTAGCTCCCCAATTTAGTGCTTTGAGGAAACTAAGGGAGGAAGGGCTTAAGGGTTTAGGGCTTAGGGTCATCTGAAGGCTTAAGCGCCTAGGGAATGTAAGGGATTAAGGGCTTAGGGAATCTGAGACTTTGAGGGCTCAGGGAATTTGAGGGTTGAAGGGCTTACGGAATTTATAAGGGCTTCCGGGCTTCGGGTTCTAAATGATCTCCGCTCCTGAAGCATTTCTCAACCAAAGAACCAGCGATCGGCGAACCTCGGCCCCCCGTGGCATGTACGCGCAAGCTTACTGGAATCCCAGGCTGCACCTCCATAGCGCTGCACCCGATCCAGCTCCACTGCCGGATACTGTAAATAGTCATACCTGAGCTCTTCTGGCCGAGTGCATGAAATCCGACAGACCAGAGAAGAATTGTGGTTCAGGATATGTCCTCGCAATGTCAGCTGCGTCTGGGGCGAAAGGCACAAACACAACTCGCCCCGGTTTCGGCCGCAGAAATCGACTCGGAAGTTGCACTACAGATCACCTACTGGCGAGAGTGGGTTGCCCGATGTTGCCCGTATTGAAACCCACCTATCATCTCACGAACGTAAACACAAACACAACACACAGACACACACAATACGCAAATTGAGAAGCATGTTGGCCTGACTGTGCTCACAAGTGAGCACAAGAGCTCAGGACTCGAGACTGCTTGCTGAAGCTTCAAACCGTCGAGGTGCGGGTTCTCGACGGTCGGCACAGCGCCGCGAGGGCCGTTATCGCCTTCGTCCAGCTCGCAAGCTTCCTTTGCAGGGAACCCAGTAAAAATGGGGGAATTCTATTCTGAAGCAGCCCCGAATCAACGAAACCCGAAGGTTGAAGCAAGTTGGTAAGCTCCGCTTGTGACGTGACCCCTATTAGGTGAAGTCTTCCTACACTCACAAAGACGTGGACTGCTAGCAGCCTCAATCGAAAACCGTAAAGCAGCTCTTCGCTGGCCTATGTGAGCCTTTCGCGGCAACTCAAGCTTTCCACTGCTCCTCGGAGCCTTTTAATATGGGGGGCCTTTGATAATTAGAATGGGGCTTTACACTATAATCAAAATAAGGAACCGGCAAAACCCTATTCTAATTATTGAGGCCCCTACATTGCCTTCGAAGTCCGAGGCACCCCCAGTCGCAGGGACTCGACGAAGCGAGCCCATCGAGTCTTGGAGATCAATGGCATGGAGGTCTCGTAAATGTTGATGCCACGGGTCCTCGAATTTTGAGGGGCTGAAAGCTGATAGCTGTAAGAGCTGGATGCCTGTCGGCAAACGAGGGAAAATTCGAGCCGCTAAGCTAAGTACCACCCACAACGGAGTCAACACATTCTGTTACATCGGTCGTGTGCTTAGGAAAGTAGCTACAGAGCCCCCGATGTGAAGATGAGACAGGCATGGCTGGGAAGGGACAACGACATGGTGGCTTATCTTGACTTGCGGCTGCTTGCAACAGTGCTGCAGTCGTGCATTGCCCCGCGCGTCGTGGAAGATGTCGTTGTAGCGTTGGCACAACTGTGCAACCATGAGATTCCTTTGGGGACAAGCGGGCGTCCACAGCAGAAGACACATGCAACTCCCGTTGATTATAGCTGAGCTTCATGAGGTACACGTGCCAGCACGCAGCGAATGCCATCACAAACCTCAGTCGGCAATACCGAGCTGGCCGTGTATTGCTTGCTTGAAATATGAATAGACATGACGAAGAGGCCTACTTTCTCGTATAGGAAATGGGATTGTATTCATCTGAAGGCGAAGCAGAGGCTGCCAAGCACCGGGTGTGTTTTTCGGAAAAAACTGGCTTCGAGAATCATCGGGAGTTTCACCACCAAGCGATGCCCCTCCGTAGTGCAAGCGGCCATTTCAGCAATGGTTCGTCTGCGACAGATATCTCCTCGTAGTTATTGCCTCCATAGGAGTTGAAGGCCATTGACCTGAGGAGATTGCAGTTTGACATCCTGTCATGCTCGAAAGACCAGCATCTTGCCAAAGCTAGCTGTGCCCGACGATCCGGCTGCAGCGGACACAAGTATCATAGGCATCCCAAAGAGACAGACGAAAATGCGCTGCCAGTGGTTGAAAGACGCGCAAAGCAAGCCAAGCCGTCCTAACCACCAAGCAACGCCCGCAGAATCCTCTCTTACCAGAATAAGATTCTGAGCCTCCAGCTCTACAAGTTGACGTGCTACTGCTCTACGACTCTACTACTCCTACTCTACTGCTATTGCTACTGCGATGGCGATGGCTACCGCTACTGCTTCCTGGTACGGCGACGGCTACTGCTTCTACTTCTACTACTACAACTACTATGACGACGAATACTACTAATGCTACGGTGCTGCTACCACCTAGAACCCTAAACCCTAAACTCTAAACTAAAAAACCAGGCATCTCGGCTAACCAGG